TCCTGGGGAGGAAAACTATGGCAAATCTAGACAGCATACTAAAAAGCAGAGACATCACCCTGCCAACAAAAGTACGTATGGTCAAGGCCATGATTTTCCCAGTTGCAATGTATGGCTGTGAAAGTTGGACCATAAGATAGGCTGAGTGCCAAAGAATTGAGGCCTTTGAACTATGGGGCTGGAGAAGACTCGTGCGAGTCCCCTGGACTGCAAGGCAATCAAACCGGTCAGTCCTAGAGGAGATCAACCCTGACTGCTCTTTAGAAGTTGAAACTCAAATATTTTGGCCACCTAATGAGAAGGAAGGACTCACTGGAGAAGAGCCTAATGCTGGGAAAGATTGAGGGCAATAGAAGAAGGGGACGACAGAGAATGAGGTGGCTGGATGGGGTCACGGAAGCAGTAGACGTAAGCTTAAATGGACTCCAGAAGATGGTAGAGGACAGGACGGCCTAGAGCAGGGGTAGGCAACCTTGGCTCTTTTATGACTCATGGACTTCAACTCCCAGAATTCCTGAGCCAGCATAGCTCAGCTTGGAAACCTCTCCCTTTCCCCTCAGCATGGCTGGCTCAGGAATTCTGGGAGTTGAAGTCCATGAGTCATAAAAGAGCCAAGGTTGCCTACCCCTGGCCTAGAGGAACATTGTCCATGGGGTCGCAATGGGTCGGACACGACTTCACAACTAACACAACAAGTTTAATGAAGAGAAGGATGAGGGGTGACACAATACCAGTGTTCCAATATCTCAGGTGTTGCCACAAAGGAGAGGGAGTCAAGCTATTTTCCAAAGCACCTGAAGGCAGAACAAGAAGCAAAGATGGAAACTAATCAAGGAGAGAAGCAACCTAGAATTAAGGAGTAATTTCCTGACAGTTAGAACGATTAATCAATGGGACAACTTGCCTCCAGAAGCTGTGAACGCTCCAACACTGGAAGTTCTTAAGAAGAGATTGGACAACCATTTGTCTAGAATGGTATAGGGTTTTCTACTTGTGCAGGGGGTTGGACTAGAAGACCTCCAGGATCCCTTCCCACTCTGTTATTGTTATTCTGTCTGCCTCTCTGCCAGGTGATACTCTTGTGAGACAAGTTTTCTGCTTCTGAAGAATAATTGCTAGTCCATTTAAAAACATGACTGCAACTCAAAAACCACTTCATCAGAAGTTGGAGCCAAAACAGCTGGGCAAGGTGAGAAGAGCTTTACAAGCATCTTAGCAACAAATTTCCAGAGATACATTGGTTCACATTTCTGCTTTCTGGTTGTTTCTAACAAGCAACTCAAAATAGTGTCTCCAGTGAGTGAAGGAACAACTGTGTTTCAGGACCACAAAAAGGCATAAAGCAAGACTCTTCAGAACTAGATAAAATCTTATTTAGCAAGGAAGGCAAGACTATAAGTAAATTATATCGATATTTATTAGAGCAAGATATGATTGAGGAACAGGTAAAACAATTTGGTGTAAATATTTTGGGCACAATATTGATTCGGATATTTGGCAAAGTTTATGGGAAAAAAATCTAAAAATTACTCTAGCAACCTCCTATAAGGAAAACCTCTATAAGATGTTTTATAGGTGGCACCTTCCTCCCACAAGATTAGCACGAATGAACAAGGGGAAATCCTCAATATGCTGGAATTGTGAAGAGACTGTTGGGAATTACTACCACATGTGGTGGCAATGCCCAAAGGGACAAAAATTTTGGAACTTGTTAAAGAAGTGGTTGGAAGAAATTTTGCAAATAGATATAGAAGCCAAATCGGAATTTTTCTTATTGGGAATTATAGAAAGAAAATATAAGAAAGACACAAATTATTTACCTATGCATATAGTAACAGCGGCACGAATAACCTTCGCTCAAAGATGGAAAGAGAAAGATACTCCAACCGAAGAGATAATATTATTGAAAATTTTCAATTGCGCTGAAATGGATAGACTTACATGGGAACTCAAGGACAAAAGTGAAACCAAGTACTATAAAATCTGAGAACAATTTTATGATTGGATAGACAATAAGAAGGTAGCCAAGATAAATGTATAGTGCTAGAATAAAATATAGATTATAGACAAATGTATATTTAAAAGATAGATATATAGAAATAAGGGAAAAAGTGTTAATAGTATATTATAAATAGTGAGCAAAGTTCAAGAACTATATGAGTAGTAATACTATTGTAAAATGTTGGAAGATGTATGGAACCAGTGACGTCATATCTATGTCCAATGTGTTTTTAATTTTGTATTAATAAAAATTTATAATAATTAAAAAAAAATTTACACCATGGTGACCAAAACTGGATGCAATATTTCAAGTGTTAGATATTCAAATATAGGAAAATAAATTCAAGATGTTAAACCTTAAGGTGTTATTGTCAAGGGAGTTTTCTAGTGCAGAGTTTGTAAGCCTGTAAAAATCAAACCCTTTCCATTCCAATTTTAAAATCAATCTTAGTGAGCTAAATAAAAGCCTTAAACTATTAAAATCTGGATTTATTTTTTAAAATATTTATATCCTACCTTTATTATTTTTATAAGGCGGCAAGCATAACCAGCATACCTTCCTTCTCCTATTTCCCCCCACAACGACAATCCATTGAGGTGGGTTGGGCTGAGGGAGTGATTGACACAAGGTCACTTAGGCTTTCATGCCTAAGGCGGGACTAGAATTTCCCGTCTTCTGGTGATTGGTCCAAAATCATCCAGCTGGCTTTCATGGCTAAGGTGGGACTAGAACTCATGGTCTCTCCCAGGTTCTAGTTGCTAATTTAACCACTAGACCAGACTGGCTCTGTATCTCTATAATATCAAACTGGATATTAGATATTTATCCGGAAGGAAGGAAGGAAGGAAGGAAGGAAGGAAGGAAGGAAGGAAGGAAGGAAGGAAGGAAGGAAGGAAGGAAGGAAGGAAGGAAGGAAGGAAGGAAGGCCTCTGTGAAGTAAGCCTAATGTTCTGAGGTAAAGATTGATTAATTCTTGGACTGGGGTACTGCATCCTCCCACACCTTAATTTCTCCCAAATCTCTAGAGGCTGTCAATATATTATGGAATACTGGTAATTTCCAAGGGCTTTGAAAACTCAAAAGCATCATTTGGAGTACTGTCAACCCAGTTCTAATCACTAAATCTTGCTGACCGAAGTACAGATGCAAAAGGAACTGGGCAAAGTATATATTGGGAGGTTTACATAACTGGTAATATTTATTCCATGTGCAAAAGTTAAGTTCACTCAATGCAGTTTGCATTTGTATGTAGGCACAGGGCTCTCAAACTGTGCTTTTTAGATACTACTCAAAAAAAGTAGTACTGTTCTTCATCTAGAAGTTTGATTATGCAGCAATGCAAAGAAAGGAGAGAGAGAGAGAAAAAAAAAAGGTAGGGTTTAAATAAATCCAGAGACGAAAATAGTTTATAGATCAAAAATACATAGTCAGATACAGATAAATTTGTTTTTAATAAAGGAGTTAATTTTCTTTCAATCCTATATAAAACAATAGCAATTAAAAACTTCATTTTTGAAAGTAAAATATTTACATATGAACAAGGGACTGTGCAAAATTTACATAAAAAAAATGGAAAGACAGGATTTCTCTCTTATTTTTTTTTCCCTAAAAGACAAATAAAAAGGTGTAACAGTTTGTTGGATGTTGATAAAAATACTGATCAGCATTCAGTTTTACACACACAAAAAAAGGAGAAAAGGTGCAAATGCACTGGAAACTCTCCTTGCACAAGGCTCTGTTCAAATCAATGCCAGTTCGTGCACAGCAAACCTTCATTCCGGGTAGGGTTTGCGCAAGGAAGGTCCCCAGTTGCCCTGCCCTTGAAAATCTAACATGAGAGTTCACACAAAGAAAACCGACATATTTACAGTCATAAAAGTACTATCAATAGACAATTTAATACAATAACCTCTGAAAATATAAAGAACCAATTAGTATATTTGTAATAAAAAAATAGGTAGAAACAGGGGAATTTTGCTCTGGACATCTTTAAAGTTAAGCCCATAAGCTTTGCATACAGTCTTTTAGCAAAATAATTATAGTTTACATAGCCATTTTTTAATGTTATGTGCCAAAAAATTATGTACAATTACTGACAAAATACACCAACCATTTTTTTTCAACACTTGATTTCACACTGAGAAAACTGCCTTTTTGATGATTCCTCTGAACTCTGATTTTTATTTAATCTAAGCTTTCACTTTCGCTAAAAAACACAGTGCAAGTAAAATATATTTATGCTGAAAAGTTGTTTTTTTTTGTTTTTCGTTTTTTTTGTTTTAAACTTTACAGCTTTACAAACTATAGCAAATAAATGCATTTCTTTTTTTCCTTTTTTAATTTTTTTTTTTTTTTTTTGTACAGATGCTGATAAAACATTCAGAAGGAACTGTCCTTTGTGGATCTTCAGAGTTGGGCGGGGTGCCTCTAATAAGCAAAAATAACAAGATTAAAAAAGAATTGAGGTTACGCTTAAAATTAAATGTTGTGTAGAATTTGAACCATCTCGGGCAGGAAGGTAAAGATAAATATTTATTAAAATCAATTTATTTTGCTAACTGACTTCTTTTAAAAGCTAAAGTAAAATGAGGTCACCTGCTGTAGGCATACGTGTGTGTGTGTGTGTGTGTGTGTGTATGTATGTATGTGTGTGTGTGTGTGTGTGTGTGTGTATATATATATATATATATATAATATATATCTATATATATATATATATATATATATGTAGGTCTTTTTTCGGGTTTTTCCCGCGTAAAATTGGAAGTGTCTTGGCGACGTTTCGATGAAGTCCCATTCGTCATTTTCAGGCTGGTGTTTTCAGCTTCGTGCTTCGAGGAGCAATGTGTAGTCTTAGCACGAAGCACGAAGCTGAAAACACCAGCCTGAAGATGACGAATGGGACTTCATCGAAACGTCGGCAAGACACTTCCAATTTTACGTGGGAGAAAACCCGAACAACCAAAGACCTACATACAAACACCCGCGAAAATCTCAGAAAACATATATATATATATATATACACACACACACACACACACACACACACACACACACACACACACACACACACACCTAGATGATTTGAGTTAAAGTACAACTGAAATAAAATGCACAATTAATGTTGAATTGCTACAGGATCATCTGACACAGAGTAGCTGGTTATTTGCTAATGGTTCCCTCAGTCTCTATAATATGGCTTGTTTGACAAGAAGGCCACTCCAAGAGATGAGTTAAACTTTCAACTGTCCGCATATTGTCTCCTTAGGCCTTTCCACGTCTCCTGACTGTCAAAGACAGAGGTCTCTCTCTCACATCAAAGGGTTAATGATCAATGGAAATAGAAAACGGGCTCCTTGCAAAGAGATGGCGGTCTCAGGGCGGTGGCTGTTGATGGGGTGTTCTGATTGGATTTAAAACAATATCCCATAGGCTTGTTACAAAAAGGCGTAATCTGCAAATATATATAAAAAGTGTCCCCAGGGTCTTCTTTTGCCAAAAAATACCTTGATCTTCTCCACTTCTACTTAAGGAATGCTTTATAGAGCAATAGTGAATGGCTTGTCTCTCGCTCATTTTCTAAACAAAATATGAGGTCCCTGAGGTTCACCCGAGTTATCCTTTGCCGTGTAAACTGTCTGGTTGTTCCGATTCCGGAGCATCCTGGTACTGCTACACTCGGACTGGATCCCTGGGAGAAAAAAGAGAGAAAAAGGATGTTTTTTTTTAATCCTTCAAGCAGAATCCCCTTGCAAAGCTGACTACAGGTGGTCCTTGACTTACAACATTTCATTTAATGACTGCTCGAAGTTACAACAGCACTGAAAAAAGTGACTGATGGCCGTTTTTTACACTTACAACTGACTCGTCTTTCTGACGGTTGCGGTGTCCCGAGGTCATGCGATCCACCTGTTGCGACCTTCTGACAAGCAAAGTCACTGGGAAACCCAGATTCACTTAACAACCGTGATACTAATGTATAAACTACAGTGATTCACCTAATAACTGTGGCAAGAAACATTGTTAAATGGGGCAAAACTCATTTAACAAATTTCTCACTTAGCAACCTACATTTTGGACTCGGTTGTGGTTTTAAGTGGTAGAGGTAGTCCTTGACTTACAGTCATGAACAAGGGACTTGGGACTATAATTTCCAGTTGGCAAGCATCCAAATTTTCATGACATATAACCGTGTGGATGCTGTGACGGTTGTAACTGCAAGGACTGATTGTTACTCACTTTTTTCGGTGCCACTGTAATATTGCGGGGGCTAAACAAATATACTGTAAATGGAAGATTATCTGTAACCCATATCGGATATCGGAGAAACCGGAAAAATTTGATGGCAAGACATTTTTTTCAAGGGAAAGGATAGTTCAGTAAGAATCATATATAATAGTGGTGACAAACCTGTGGCACGGGTGCCAGAGGCAGCACTCGAAGCCCTCTCTGTGGGCACACGTGCCATTGCCTCAGCCTTGCTTCCCCCACCCGTGACCCCCTCCTCACCAGCAGCCCTCCTGGAGAAGAGTCGCCCCCGAGCGTGGCCCACGTGGAGCAGTGCAGTCAAGGACATGGCAGCCAGGCAGTGTAGACAAGACTCTGCCCTCACGCCCCATCACGCACAGTTGATGCTGCGGGGCACGGGCAGAGGGCGTGGCTACCATGGCGCTGCTGGGCGATCTGCAGCAGGCCCTGGAGACAGTGAGTGGCCCTGCGGGCAGGTGGGGTGGGGCCGGAGCAGAGGCGGGGCAGGGGGTGGAGCGGGGTGGGGCCAGTTTTTGGGCACTCGGTCTCTAAAAGGTTCACCATCACTGATATATAAACTACAAGTAAATCTTGACTCACGAGCTTTGAGCAGATTTTGTGCCTCGAATGAGCCGTGCTGGATTAGGCCAAAGCCCAACTTAAACCAGCCCTTTGTTCCTTATATGAGCCAAGCAAAGATGCCCGGAGTACAGGCAAATTATAACAAATTACAACCATTTGTTTAGTGACTGCTTGAAAATTACAATGGCACTGGAAAAAATGTGACTTACGACTGTTTTCACATTCACAATCGTGGCAGCATCCCCCTGGTCATATGAACAAAATTCGGACGCTTGGCAACTGACTCATATTTATGATGGCTGCAGTGCCCCGGGGTCATGTGATCACCAAAGTTGACCTTCTTACCAGCAAAGTCAATGGGAAAGCCAGATTCACTTAACAGCCGAGTTACTAACTTATCAACTGCAGTGATTCGCTTAACACAGGGGTAGGCAACCTTGGCTCTTTTATGACTCGTGGACTCCAACTCCCAGAATTCCTGAGCCAGCCATGTTGAGGGGAAAGGGAGAGGTTTCCAAGCTCAGCCATGCTGGCTCAGGAATTCTGGGAGTTGAAGTCCACGAGTCATAAAAGAGCCAAGGTTGCCTACCCCTGGCATAACAACTATGGCATGAAAGGTCATAAAATGTGGCAAAGCTGTCTCGTTTAGCGATGTAAGTTTTGGGCTTAATTGTGGTAGCAAGTTGAGAACAACTTGTAGTCCCAAATGAAAATGGAAACCCACTCTTTTCCCATCCTCTGCAAGGGGATGCTGCCCCCAACCCAGAGTAACTCTGAATCTTCATGATCAGTAGCCCTTGGCAGAGCTGTACACCGTGAGTTTATTCCATCTTCTTTTTGCCATGCAAGCCAGCAGTCCTCACTATAACTTAGGGTTATGGTTTCCACAGGTCAATTGCGTACTGCATGAATAATTCCCTTCTTTTGCTATTGAATAACCCCCCTGCTCTTGATCTTTTAACAGACAAAAGAATATCTTCCCTGGGCATCTCATTTATTTCTTTACCAAATTTAGAAACAGCTCATTTCACATACAGAGCAACAGTTTCCTCCAAGTCGATTGTGTAATTCCTCTGTCACCTTTCAACCTAAAAGAATACCAAATGTTCTGGCTTTTTATAGGGAGTGATTTCATGCTCCAGGTTATTTTTATTGTTGTTGACTGTCAGTTGTCTGCTTACTCTGATTTAATCTGCTTCCATTTCATTCAGCATACGTATTTCAATTCTTTTTTTAAAAAAAAAAAATCTGCATAATACTGGTGGTCCTTGACTTACGACAACAATTCAGCCCAAAATTTCGGTTGCTAAGCGAGGCAGTTGCCTCATTTTATGATCTTTTTTGGCACAGATGTTAAGCAAATCACTGCAGTTCTTAAGTGAATTATAGAGTTATGAAGTGATTCTGAATCCCCGCATTGACTTTGCTTGTCACAAGCCAGCTGGGAAGATTACAGATGGGGTTCACATGACCCTGGGAAACTGCAGCCATCATTCACACATGCCAGTTGCCAAACGCCTTAATTTTGATCATGTGACCATGGGAATCTTGCAAAGGTTGTCAATATGAAAACCCGTCATAGGTCATCTTCTTCAGTGCTGTTATAATTTCAAACTAAACTATGATTGTCAGTCAAGGACTACTTGTATAGACTTTGCATGTTAACATTTTGTGTAATTAAACTCAAAGATTTAAGGAAAGTGAGATTGGTATAATAATGTCACAGATATAGAAGTCCTAGCTTTAAATCCTAATCAAGTCAGTTCATATTACACTTTGGATTTCACTCTGTTAAAATATTGGCTTTTCTGGAACCAGACTTTCAACAATTCAGAAATTGCCCAATTAAATGTTTGTCACCGGACCAATGCAAAATAAAAAAAAAAATGCCTCAAGGAGGGACTTACTAAGAGAAAATAAACAAGAGGACCGTAGTCTCTTCATTCTCATGAAAATATATGGAGACAGTAAATATCTGTAACCAGCAGGTGGCACATAAAGACCAGGAAAGTAATTTCTATTTTGACTTTTAAAAAGTGTGAGAGTTTAAAGATCCTTAAAGTAAAAACTTTTTAATAATTTAGGCATTGTGCAAATAAGTTACTAGAACAGTGGTTCTCAACCTTTCTAATGCCGTGACCCCATAATACAGTTCCCCATGTTGTGGTGATCCCCAACCACTTATACATCACCGGGTGCCAGGGGTGTGGCCAAAGAAAAGGGGGAAAAAATGGCGGACAGCCTTGTTTGGCGACCCCCGTGAAATGGTCGTTCGACCCCAAATGGGGTCCCGACCCACAGGTTGAGAACCACTGTACTAGAGCCTCTTAAAATATCCAGTAAAAATCAGGAGGAACAAGGTTGAGAAACCAGGACTGATTAGTGCAGAAATGGGGAACTATGGTCCCCCTTTATGACTTGTGGACTTCAACTCCCAGAATTCCTGAGCCAGCATGGAACAAATCAAAAGGGGGTTATAGTTCCCCAACCCTGGACTAGTGAAACTGAGAACTGGTGGGGCATTTCTCTTATCTGGAGTAGAAGTGAAAGGAACAGCATGCTCAAAATGAACACAAACAATAAAATGGAGATAGTATTACACTGTCTTTTTAAGAATAAGCACACCCCCACAGAAATCCAAAGGTGTGAACGGGTTGATACTGTTGAGATTATCTGTTTAAAATAAGGGGAAGTTGAAATTAAAAGCAGTTTGTAAACCATTATAACTTTCCCCACTGGCCATCCCAGCAAGAAAGTGAGGGTCACTTTCTTAAAAGTCATCTACATATCTTTCAAATTAGTATGAGCCAGCAGTGTGCTTAGATATGAGCCAGCAGTGTGCTGCAGCTGCCAAAAAAGCCAACACAGTGTTGGGCTGCATTAATAGAGGGATAGAATCAAGATCACATGAAGTATTAATACCACTTTACAATGCCTTGATAAAGCCACACTTGGAATACTGCATCCAGTTTTGGTCACCATGATGTAAAAAAGATGTTGAGACTCTAGAAAGAGTACAGAGAAGAGCAACAAAGATGATTAGGGGACTGGAGACTAAAGCATATAAAGAAAAGCTGCTGGAATTGAGTATGTCTAGTTTAATGAAGAGAAGGACGAGGAGGGACATGACAGCAGTGTTACAATATCGCAGGGGCTGTCCCAAAGAAGAGGGAGTCAAGCTATTCTCCAAAGCACCAGAAGGCAGGATAAGAAGCAACGGATGGAAACTAATCAAGGGGAGAAGCAACCTAGAACTAAGGAGAAACTTCCTGACAGAACAATTAACCAGTGGAACAACCTGCCTCCAGAAGCGGTGAATGCTCCAACACTGAAGGTTTTTAAGACGAGATTGGACAGCCATTTGTCTGAAATGGTATAGGGCTGTGGTGGCGAACCTATGGCACGGGTGACAGAGGCAGCACTCAGAGCCTTCTCTGTGGGCATGCGCGCCCTCGCCCCACTCCTAGGCCTTCAGCTGGCTTTTATAAAACTTTTTCGCTTTAGGCCTCCGCCACCGTGTGCAAAAAAAAAAGGTTCAATCAATCAATCAATTTCAACTTCTTGCTGGGAAAAAAAATCTCGCAAAGTTGGAATTGATTGATTGAACTTTTTAGTCCCATCCAGTCTACTGTTACCACCCAGCCACACCCACCCAATGGGCCACGCCCACCCGGCACCTGGTATAGGGTTTCCTGCTGAGCAAGGGGTTGGACTAGATGACCTCCAAGGTCCCTTCCAACTTTATCATTGTTGTTAATGTTATTGTCTACCTGTATTCACTCCTTTTGTAGCTTGGTCTTCTCCGAGAAAATAACTCTTTCACTTGGTAATTATTCTATGCCATCCATCTTTTTTCCCTTC